TTAGAGTGCCGAGCAAGACCGTCTATGCACCGCCACCCAGCGGCGCGCAAGACCTTTAAGAACTCGTTTAGGAGGTCGGATTGTGTCACCGACACCAGGTGCACAAGGCGTCCATAAGCCCCCAGAGCTCTGATACAGGACTGCGGGTAGCCAGGGATGCTCTCTACCAGATTTGAAGGAGGACCGACGCCGGAGCACCGCAGGATGTAGAGCGCAAGTTGGCGGGAGGCGCCATTCAAGAGTTTTCAGTACTCAGAGATTGTCGGCTTTACTGATGCAATGCGTAGTAGCCGGTGGGCAGACAATGTGGGCGTTCTCCACGCGTACCATAATTTGGAGGACGGGTAGCGCACAAAAGGTGCTTCCAACTCGTGCTCCTGGACTGACCGCTCGTCCTATGATCGTTGCAAGAGAACGCGTTGGGACGCACTCACTGGTATCGACACGGCGGGCATATCTGAGTATTCTACCCCAGATCCTGTAAAATCCATGGTAAGGCAAGCCTGAGCATCTGTACCATCGTCTGCCGCGGCTACTTGAGAACAACACCAATTGTAGGGGGACCGTCGTCCACTACAAAGGGACTCACAGCAGTGGCGGCGGGGTCGGTGAGGATGCCCGCAATGTTGAGAGGAACTGGCATAGACTAACCTGATACGCGTACGCACACTGTGCGAGCGCACCAATTCACCCGCCACCGCACGCGATCAGAACGAGTGCCTCAGGCTTTGTTTTGTACGCCGCGGAGGATCACCGTCGCTCGCCGTAAGCGGTGCAGGCACGACATCGATTCGTTTCTACACGTACGGTAACGTATCCCACAACACTCGACTACCCCTTCCGCTCGTCAATTCATTACACTAACAGGCATAGTCTATCACAGCACAACATGAGCACACATACAGCAAACTTCTAGACATACACGGGTGTCGCAGGGGGGGTAAGGTATCGCATGATCAAAATAATGTCGCGTCCACCGACGCGGAAAGCAAACCGAAGCAGCAGTACGAGAAAAGACAAGATGTGCGGAGGACGGCGGATGAGAAGGTGAGTGGTAGTAGTATGTCAGCGATCCTGTATGTCATGCTGAATCAAAGAAACCCAACACGTCAGATCCGCGACCAAACGTGCATAAACGAAACACGACCGACGTACCTTCGTTCTCCATCTACACATCCCCGTCCCCGTCGCTCACCCTCCCCCGCCTCCTCTCCTCCCCGAACCCCTCTTGCGTCCCAACCCTCCTCGGCGCGAACCCCGGCGAGTCCCACAACCTCCTCCCACCTCCCCCACCCAACCCCCCGACCCTCGGCGCCCGCGTGATCGGCGTGTCGTCGTATCCCCCCGAGTATATGCTCCTCGAGTGCGCCCCCGCCCCCGGCGTCGTCTCGTACGCGTGCTGCCCATCGTTCCAGTTCAGCCTCCTCGGCCCTACGCTTCCCCCCGCCCCGAACCTCGCCGCCAGCGTCGGAGTCGGCGTAGGTGTCGCCCCGCCCCGCCCCGCCCAGAGCCCCACACCCCCCTTCGGGGTCGACAGCCCAAGCGTCGGCGGCGGGCCCCCGCTGAACTTGATCCCGCGCGACGGCGTCGTCGTCGGGTCGAACGGCGTGTCCGGGTCGAACCCGTCCCGGTCGAATGCGAGCGCGTACGCACTGGGCGT